GAGAGAGAGAGATACTGCATCCTACAACTTAGCGCAGCAACAACTCACCCTCAGCGCTCAGAACATTGAGACAAATGGGTGAAACTCCTTTGCGACATTTTTTTTGTTATGATATAATTTATTATCAGTGCCACTTGATATTATTCTTTCTACAATAATTTATTTTTTGTTAAATATATACATATATTTAATGTTATTTCTTTTTCTTATTGCTCTCAAAGAGAGATCTTAATTTGCACTAGTGGAAATTTAATTTTCACCTCATTTCAGTCGGAGGAGTCAGCTGTGAAGGCACAGAATGGAGACTGAATGACGCTGATAAAGATCAAGCTGCAGTGGACTGTGCTGCTCATGTCGGCTGCGCATATGCGAATGTTACCGGGTGTGAATGTCATCAGTGAAGCAGCTGATAAAGTGTTTGCAGACCGGACTGAGTCAGAATACCAAATGAAAAGGAAGCGACTATAGCTTGGTGGAAAATCTTGATTAAAATGTGGACCAAAGTGTCTGGGCCGGGGGGAGCGTTCGTTTTTGTCTGTCACGTTAAGCTCGCTGGAAGTGCTCGTAATGAAAATGTGATGGCTTTTAAAAACTGACTACGGTACATAAAAAGTACGTGTGACTTGCATTAAAGGGTCTACAAACCCTGATTCTAAACTTTTTTTTTTCTCCTCACGAGTGGCACTAAACCGTGCAGATAGTTTTGTTTTGAATTCTCCAGGCTCGGAGAGGTCTCTTTTCTTATTTCGCTCCACGAGATTAATGGAGTTTCATTTTAATTCCTGGAAAAATTAAAAAAAATCTTCATTCAGTTTGCTGGATAGATGGTCAGAGTTGCCAGATTCATTAGTTTTTATTTCACAGAAAGAGGAATAAATAAAAAGTAAATGAACAAAATATGAGATGGTTAACTTAAACACTTATTAGCCTAGAATCTTACAGTGCAAACAGGTTTCATAGGTTATATTCACGTGCTGGCAAAAAAAAAAAAGGCCCAAATCAGATTCCTTTGCTTAAATACCACTCGTGTTTCTTCACAAAAGCACAAATCACAGAAATCTGCTTTCTTTTTTTCAATTCTTTCATATGGAGCCCTGAAATACAGAGTTTTTTATTCAGTGAAAATCAGAATCCAACCACTCCGGGCTCCAACACTGCCTCCACGCCTCAATATGAAGCTAGGAGTTACTGTACCACAAAAAGCCACGATCTTTCTCTTCGTCCTTTCTGATTAGCCGGCCACTTCTGCACATCAACTTAAAAGTGAACCGGTAAACGCATTTTTTCGGCCTCTTGTCGCTTCTGTGTAAAAGTACGATGCACGGGACGCTGTTACACATGCGTCTCACTGTTTTTCTGATATTGGCTAAGAGAGGAATGCAAAAAAAAAAGTGCCAAACAAACTCATCGGAGGATTAATCAGAATTTCTGCATAGGGCCTTGGAGTGTGAACCCAGCCTTCAGATGTCTGTCACAAAAATCAATTGACTTGTAAATCATTCAAATTAAATATTAAAGCTAATAAGATGACCTTTGATTGTTGCATGTTTTCGAAACATTTTTGAACATATTTTACCTGTCACCAAAAAAAGTTTTTTTTGAGCAACTATCAGACATTTCTGCAGAATTATTTAAAGCTGTTGGTAACTACTTCTTCTTTTTTTCCTTTTTTTTTTCCAGAAAAGGATCCATTTCTTTTTCTAATGCAAACAGAGTCGTGTTGCATTTTCCCCTCAGATCTACAAAGAGGCACAGCACCTCTCCGGTGATTGTTTTGGTCGCGCAGGCTGCAACTTAACTGCTTTTTGTTAAGTCTCACTGCTCTCATTAGTGTCATTCTAAGAAGCAGCTGGCAGCTTTTTAGCTCTAGACAAACTGCTTAGCACCATATGACACTAATAATGACAGCAACTTGCTGGTGATCATAATTGAGCTTATTTAGCAAGTAAAGAGCTAAAATTTCCTTCAGAAGCTGGAGACCAAACCACTGATAAATTTGAGTGAGTACTGTAGTTATATCAGACAGCCAGGAATGCCAATTGAACAACAATGCTCTAAATCTCTCTAATGAGCAAGTGTATAGAGATATATATAATATATTGTTAGCTTACTGGATTAATATTAAACATGTCCACCTTTCTAATAATGAGTTTATGTTGGTAATCTCTGTGAGCCAAAGCTCAGGGTTCAGACTGCTCTTAATGCTCCGTTTTAGACATTTTTTCCACTCTTGGCTCTCACTGCGATCAATGAGGGGTTATCCCTAATAGCTTTGGCAGTGGGAACAGAAGCCGACCCACCAGCTGTTCAAACCTGTTGTTTGTGAGAGGCACCCAATCAGAAGAAATTTGTTTTTAATGTATGAGAGGTAAAAGAGCTTGTTTCAGACAGAGGCCGGACTGAGGGAGGCACTGTAGAAGATACCTAAGGTTTATTTTTAAAACTATGAAGTGGAAGTGAGAGTGGCAGTTCACTTTAAATAAGGGGGAAAAAAATCCATCCATTTCCATCCTTATGAAGTAAAAGTGGATATCTCAAAACCTGGCCAGGGAAAACCAAAACTGTCTGCATGTCTATGTATCATCTGAGGAGATGACTTTTATGTTGTTGTTTTTTTATTGTTTTGGGGAACAATACTAGGTAGCTGCCCAAAGGCCAGAGATGAACTGAGACTCAGGTTGTAGAAACAACCTTCTTCAATCATGTCAACCTGTGGTTTGCATTCCGACCTGATCCGCACCAGTCTTGGTTGTGTGCTTCTCAGTCGCTTCATCCAGTCTGGGCATGATATTACAGTACAGTTGGACTGCATTAATCAAGCCATATTAAAACTAGATGTCTTGTTATTGGAACCACGTCATAGCGTTTGCTGCTGGTGTAATGTAAATATTGTATGTGTGACAAAGTGTATCATACTGTATGTAGAGCTGACTGACTGATCAAACTACCTGTGGCAGTCATACAAGCTGGAGTGACTGGATGATTTCAATAAAGACTAGCTGTGACAATTTTAACCACACCCTGGTTTCGTGTTCACTCTGCTTGTGCATCTCAGCTTAACAGAAAGGGGCCGAAGTCATGAGGCAGCTTTATTGACACGCACACTGTGCATTAATGTGCGAGGCTGTCGTATCCCTAACTGCATATCGTGCATGTGGTGGTGTGTTTTCAATCATGCTAAACCAGCCACAATCACTCATGTGCAGAGGGGGGCTGATTAAGAGTGTGCCATGACTCTGTAGGCAAGACGAGAGGAGAGGAGCAGGAGGAGGAAAAAAAAGATCATTAGGTGAAAAGAGAGAGTTGAACCAGGGCGAAGAGGAAGTAACCAGGAGCAAGTAAAGGGAAAGGAGGAATGAGAACGAACTAGAGGAGCAGGTGGTGGAGAGGAGAGAAGAGGTGAAGAGGCCAGGACTGAGGAGTGAAGGGATAGAGGGAAGTCACTGGAGGAAAGAGAAAAGGAGCATCAGGAGTTTTTTTTGGAGGGGAAGAATTGGAAAAGACAGGGGTAGAAGGAGAGGAGAGAGAAAGAAAGCAAGAAGTCAGAGCGGAGTGGAGAGAAAAGGAGGGGATGAGGCGGCTGGGCTAGGGGCCCGGGGAGGAGAAGCTAGGGCCACGGATCAGGAACCAAGTTCCCCGGGGACGGAGCAGGTGCAGGCTGCGAGCGAGGCCTTTGGGCCTGAAGGGGCTGCCAGAGCTTAAAACAATCTGCACTGCTCCTTTTTTAATTTGGCTCTGCGAACAGCCCACCCTCCGCACTGACTGTCTCTCCCTCGCTCTGTGCTTAACAGATCAGCGATCCACAAAGAGGGGTAAACACACACAGAGCAAAATTAAAATCGGAACTCCCTTGGCACGGCAAAACAAATTAGAGCAAACAAATTACAGAGAGTCAACACACAAACAGTGGAGCATCTGTGGCTCTCTGGACTACCAGAGCCGGTGGCTACCTACCACACCACCACCACCAGAATCAACCTATAGCACAAGTTTACTACAATCTGCGTATCAGTCCCACACAAACACACTCACACAGGATATCCTTTGAAATCACCCAGCCCCACGTTTAAAACCGTCCTCTGCATTGTGCTGGTTTAGGCTTGTTTTTTGTCTTCAGCATGT